CCTCCGGCCGGCCCCACCACCAGTGGCTCTCCAGCTGCCTGACTCCACTAAAACCTAGGGTTCCTCAGCTGGGGCAAAAGTTCCCTGATGCTGCCTGGCCCCCTGGACACCGGGGTTCCCCCTTGCCTATCCATTGTTGGCCCAGCTGGGGCTCTGCAGACCGTGTTCTCCTGGCTGGCTCCCATTCGTAGGCTCTTTGGGCCAGTAACAGGGTTTTATAGACCTATCATAACACCCCGTAGTCTCCCTAAAACCTAGGGTTCCTCAGCTGGGGCAAAAGTTCCCTGATGCTGCCTGGCCCCCTGGACACCGGGGTTCCCCCTTGCCTATCCATTGTTGGCCCAGCTGGGGCTCTGCAGACCGTGTTCTCCTGGCTGGCTCCCATTCGTAGGCTCTTTGGGCCAGTAACAGGGTTTTATAGACCTATCATAACACCCCGTAGTCTCCCCTTTTCTAAGCTGAAAAGTCCCAGTCTTTTTAATCTTTCTTCATATGGAACTCGTTCCAAAACCTTAATCATTTTTGTTGACCTTTTCTGAACCTTTTCCAATGCCAATATAGCTTTTTTTAGATGAGGCAACCACATCTGTAAGCAGTATTCAAGATGTAGACATGTCATTGTTTTATAGAGAGGCAATAAGATGTTCTCCGTCTTATTCTCTATCCTTTTTTTAATGATTCCTAACATTCTATTTGCTTTTCTGACTGCCACTGCACATTGAATGGATGTTTTCAGGGAACTATCCACAATGTTTCCAAGATCTCTCTCTTGAGCAGTTATAGCTAAATTAGCCCCCACCATATTGTATGTATAGCTGGGATTATTTTTTCCAATGTGCATTACTTTACATTTATCAACATTTATGATTTTGTTTCCCAATCACTTTAGTTTGGTGAGATCTTTTTGAAGCTCTTCACAGTCTACTTTGGTCCTAACTATCTTGAACAGTTTGGGTATGTCTACACTACAGCGTTATTTCAAAATATCTTTTTCGAAATAGCTTATTTCGAAATAATGCATCTACACACAAAATGCATTTCAAAAATAGCGTTTTGCTACTTCGAAATAGCACATCCACACTGATTGGATGCTGAATTGCATTTAAGGCCGGCCGGAACCAGATCCGGCAGGGCATCACGTCAGGAGTTACTTTGGGTGGCTGCTGCCTGAAGCTGTCCAAGGCCTGTGCTTAAAGGGACCTCCTTTGGACAGCCGATTCTCAGCTTTCCCTGCTTGCTTGCTTACCTCGATGAGGGACAGCAAAGCATTTTGTTCTGCGTGCTCTGGTTGCCCTCACTCGGGACACCACAGCACTCCGCAACATGGAGCCAGAGCGGCCCCTGGGCACTCTGGTGCTTCTCTTGGACGCATTGCTGGGATCCTGGCTTCACTTTCTGCAGGCTGCCATCCGGGAGGTCCATCAGGGGGCTGTCAGTATCCAGGAGGCCCTGAGGGAGAGCTTCCACCCTGAGGAGCACTAAGAGCCTCCCTGGTCTGCCCCACAGAGGGCTTGTGCCTCATTCCTCCCGCACGTCCTTCCACTTACCCCTCCCTTGCCCCCCTTCCTGATGTCAAATAAAATACACGAATTTTCATGAACACAAACTCTCTTTATTTAACAAAACTGGGGCGGGGGGAATGAAACTCTGGTGAGACTGGGGAAAGGAGGAGTGAGAGGGGAAGAGAAAGAGTGGAAGAGGGGAGGGGAAAACCTGGAAGGAGGGAGCTAGAAGGGGAAGTAAGGGAAAAGAGGGAGGGGAAACTTAGGGCTCAGGGTTGGGGGTCTCGCTGAACCAACTTGATTTTCAGGCAAACCTGCTCCTGGGTTCACATGTGGCCTTTGGTTGCCAAGCTGGCAGCTC